GGTGTTTGATGCATATATGTTTATGATTGTTATATTTTCCTATTAAATTGTTCACTAAATCAATATGTTAATAACCTACTTTGCCTCTGCTGATCAGTTTTGGCTTAAAATCCACTCTGTCTGAATTAGGATAGCTGTGTCTACGGCCATACCACCCTGCACGCGCCCGATCTCGTCTGAATTAGGATAGCTGTGCCTGCTGTTTTCCAGGTTCTGGTGCATGGGATATTGTTTTCCATCCTTTGGTTTTTAATCTATGCATTTCTTATTTGATTAAATGTGTTTCCAGTATACTGCATATCATCAAGTTTTCTTGATCATCTCTGCCAATCTGTCTCTTGACTGGGGAAATGAGACCCTTCACATTTAAGAGTTATTATTGCAGGTTACTGACTTATTCCTGTCATTGCATTAGTTTCTGTTGCCCCACCCCACCCTTCTGCTTTGCTGTTCACCTTGCCTGATGTATTCATTCTATTAGAGTTTTTGGCATTGTTGGCTTCATTGTCTCTTTCTAGGATATCTTTGAGAATTTTTGTGGTGCTGGTTTGGTGGTCATGAGTTTTTTTGGTTTTTTTGTTTGTTTGTTTTTGTCATGGAAATACTTATTTTTCCATCAGTTTTGAAAGAATGTTTTGCAGGATATCTAGGTCTAGGTGTTTTCTTTTAGGGCTTGAAATATTTTACTTCAACTTCTCCAGACCTTGAAGGTTTGTGTTGAGAGATATGCTATAATTCTAATGGGTTTATCTTTGTAAGTGATTTCGTTGCTTTACTCTAACTGCTTTCAAAATTCTGTCCCTATGTTGGATTTTTGGCATTTTGACTGTGATGTGAAATGGAGAGGTTCTCTTTGGATCATGGCTATGTTGGGTTCTCTGCATGTTTAAGTCTTTCCCAACATTTGGAAATTTTTCTGTTATTTCTGAAAACAGGTTTTTTTATACCCTTTGTGCTGTCTTCTGATTTTCCACATATTCCAGTTAATTTAGATTAGTCTTTGTGTCATCTAGCAGCTGTTGTATCCTTTTCTCATGTTCTCTTATTGTTTCTAAGATACCTCTGAGTAACCAGTCTTTGCAAGCGTCCCTATCTCCTGTTTATTTTCTGCCCTAACTGTGGTCACTTCTGCTGTCCATACTTTCAATGTAATTTTTAACCTTCTGGATTTTTGTTTGTAACTTTCTCATGGACTCTAGTTCTTTCAGGTCAAAATGGTTATCCGGGTATTGGCATACAGAGAAAACCCATTAATAGCAACAACTATGCAACCCCAGCAATATCAAGTGAGTTAGCAATAGTGACATCCAAGACAAAGTGGATATTAACTTACCATAAGAACTAATAATGTGGGCAACTCACTTTCCTGTTCCTATTCTGTCTCTCTTAGGTAAAAGCTATCTTTTTCTCAATAAACTTTTCCTACTGTTAAAAAAAAAAAGAACTAATAATGTACCACCCTTAGCCTTAGAAAAGTAATCTACAATTACAGCATAAAGCTTAAGATAAACCAAATACTGACATACAGCAAAGGTCTACTAAATGCAGTGAATTATCCTCCTGACGATAGAACTATTCTCTTGACTATAGCATTCAATACTAGTAACATAGATTTAATTGTCTAACAATTAATAAAGCTTAGTAATTATGCTGTTAAAGATATAAAGGGTTGGGAATGGGAGTATGCCAAAAAGACAAATGGAAAAATTAAACATGGGGAGATGAGAAAGAGAGAAAAGTGAGACATAGCATCCTATTACAGAGTAAAGGATATTTATAGAATTAGATAAAGGTAACGGGGGAAAAAAGGGCAAGAAATAGAATAAAATGAAAGACTGTGGAGAACAAAAAATGGGCATAAAATAACTAGGAATGGGGGGGAGTCCATAAATTAAAAAACAAAGCAAAACTGTTCTTTTCTGTATTTTTGAGTGAGTAATTTCCATTTAAGATCTACAGTTTAGGAGTCCAGCAAGTTTTTCTCTACCTAGTCATGTGGCCTATGTTTTTGTGAATTGTACCCTATTCCAGAGCCCCCTCTGTTTATCCTAGGCTGTGGCAGTATCCACACCAAGATATGTTCTTGCTCACATAGGTGAATAGAAAAGGCCGTCAGACCTCAGATTTGTGCTACATGTAGGCAGCAGGGCGAGGCTTCAAAGTTCCCAGCAGGCACTTTCAGACCTTGCTGTTTCTGAGTACAACTCAAGCTGGGCCTGGCTTCTCACCATGGTTGAGGGTGAGGCCCATGTCCTTCCCCGCCTGCATTTAAAATTCTCATAGAATCTCTTTCTAGCATTCTCCCTTCCAAGGCTGTCTTCATGGCTCTCTCTCTCTCACCAAGTTACTGTGGGAAAGTAATACTGCAGTCCTGCAGTGAAGTTGTTTTTAAGTTGTTCTGAGTCCCAGATTTAAATAATCAAGCCCCTTCCCAAAGTAGCACCTGATCAAGCACTCTGGTTATTTGGCAGGCACCTCTGCTTGAATCCCTCTCTGGCCATTGCCTGCTGTGTGGAGAGATTCCTCTCAGAGCAAAATCCTGCAGTTTTGTTTTGTTTTTTGTTTTTGTCTATGGGCTCTGCTGCCTTTTCTTTCTGTATCTCCAGCCCTGAGTGCTTACCTTGCTTCTGGGAAGCCCATTTCCCCTCCCCATGAGTCACAAGAACCAGAGAGAGTCCAAGTTGTTTTTTGTTTTGTTTTGTTTTGTTTTCCTCTATGTTGTGACCCATCTGCTCAACTTCTCTGTATCCTCTAATTTTTCTTGTCAATTCTCTTCAGATTTCTGGTGATCTGCTTTTCTTCTTTTATTCTTTGGATATTTATATCTTGTTTCACTTCTACTTTTTCCAGTTTCAGAGCTTCTTATTCCTTTTTATGGATATTATTCCTTAATTTATCTCTTTGTACACGTGACATAATTTACTTTAATGTCTTATGTTCACTTTTCATTTTCCCATGATAGGTTTATCTTCAATTTGTATTAAATTTTAGTTTATTGACTCCACATGTTCATGTTGAATAAGAGGTTCTTTATGTATTTCTTTCCTCCTTACACACAGTCCCAGTATAGCAATTTAGTGTTTTTTCCCCTAGCTTGCCCACGCAGAACTTCATTCAAATACAGATTTGAGATAAGAAGTTTATATTTCTGCTCAACAGAAATTTGTAGATTATTACAGATGCACTTACTGAACTGAAGACCTCAGCTTTATTCACCATTGCAAGGTTTTTGAGGGCTTTTTGTTTTTGTTTTTGTTTTTGGTACCAGGGATTGAACTTGGGACCTTGCCTTTGCAAGGCAAGCGGCAGAACCAGCTAAATCCCCAGCCCACCTATGTTTTTCTGCTTTCCTAAATACTGACATGTATATGTGGTGGCCCAAGTCAGCACTGAGCAGTCACTCTCCTTTCCTAGAGCCCAAGTTGCACACCAGCCTCTGCCTCCTAGCAGTGAAGTGACTTGGGAACTGATCTTCATCTTGATGCAGATTCCCATTCACCCCCAGTCTGACCTTTTATTACTTCCTTCTCTTCTGGAGCCCTGATGGCTAGTGCTTCATTTTTTATCTCAGACGTATTTATCTTTTTTAAAAAAAATATGAGATTATTATATCTTTTTTATTTCCTCTTAATATTTATGCTTTTATTTGTTTTTTGTAGCACATCTGTTTGATTACAGAATTGGCCCCAAAGCTTGGACTTTCCAGTGATTTTTTTTGTTTGTTTTTTTTTCAAGTACTTATTATTTGTAACACCACTGATCTTCAAGATATCTAAATGCCTTAGTGAAAAGATGGGAATTAGAGTTATATCAAAATTTTTATTGAAGCAGGAATTCTGTAAAGCCAGTACTTTTTAAAGCAGCTTTTAGGAATGAGGAAAGAGACTTTTCTTCCCATTATTTCTTTCCAGCATTCACTTTGTTTTGCTTTTGAGACAGGGTCTTACTATGTTGACCAGCCTTGCCTCGAACTCTCAATCCTCCCACATCAGCCTGCCAAATGTAGCTGGGATTATGGGGGTGTGACAATCCTATATTTCCCTCATCTGTTAATCAAAAAAATACAGTATGAGGAGGCAGGGTATAGAATACTAGAGAAACCATCTCTGAATTCCTATGTTTTGTTAATGAAGTATTTACCTGGGGTTTTTTGGCTTTTTTAAAAATTCTGCTGTCTCTTAATATGTAGTAAAGTCATTCTCATGGAAAGAAATGTTATATATATCAAGAATCCTATCCTTGGAAGTGACAGAAACTTGATTCCAAATAGTAGAATAAAATAAATTTGTTAGCTGGGCATAGTGGTGTGGGTCTGTAACTCTATCTCTGTTGGAGCCTGACGAGAAATTTAAGTTTGAGGCCAACTTCGGTAATTTAGGGAGACCCTGTCTCAAAGCAAAAAATAAATAAATACAAAGGAATGGGACTCATTATGCTAAAAGTGTCCACCCATTTTCTTAAATTCTTACTTTATATGTTGAATTAATTTTTTCCACTTTTAAGCTATTTTTTCCATATTGAATCAACAATGGCTAAGGGATATTAGTGATAATGATAGACAACTTCAGATGTAAATTAACAGGACTTTTAAAGCTCAGAAAAAGCCAGGTGTGGTGGTGTCCCCTGTAATCACACCACTCAAGAGGCTGAGGTATGAGTGTCAAAAGTGTGAGGCCAGGCTGGGCTACATAAGGGGACCCTGTCAAACTCAGAAATAAAGAGAGCTACATCCAGTTTTTGAACATAAAATATTAGGAAAATACCTTGATTGGCCCAAGCCGAGTCACATACGTACCTATGTTTAAATAGTTTTCCCTTGCCAGGGTCTTGGGTTTTACGCCCACACATTTAGGTGGATGCTAATATGCTCTGATTCCCCCTGAAACTTACATCACTAGATGGTAACCTGCTCTAACCAGAAGAAAAGAAGGGGTACCATCGGACATACATAGATGTCTTACTTCTTACATAATCTGTATTTTAACTTTTTGTTTTTGCAGGCAGAAAGAATTTACTTTCAGGTTTTCTTACCTAAGGGGAGCAAAGACAAGAGCAAACCTATGTTCTTTTGCCACCGATGGAGCATTGGAAAGGCGATAGACTTTGCAGCTTCACTTGCCAGTCTTAAAAATGACAATAACAAGTTAACAGCTAAGGTAACATCTAGTCATAATAATTTTCCCCTAAAAGTTTTAGGATATTCTGTGCAAACAGCATTTATTTATTACAGTGTGATGTTATTCCTCTCTCAACAGAAGTTAAGGCTGTGTCATATTTCTTCAGGAGAAGCCTTACCTTTGGATCATACTTTGGAAACCTGGATTGCTAAGGAGGATTGTCCTTTATATAATGGTGGAAATATTATTTTGGAATATTTAAATGATGATGAACAGTCTTTAAAAAATGTTGATTCTTACTTGTAAAAGTAATTCAAAGTTAAGCCAGAAATCACAAGGAAAATACTATGTATCTGTTTAGTCAGTTTCTTTTACCACAGAAACTATTGATTTTTTAAAGGTTGCTTTTTAATTTATTTCCAGTATGTCATAATTCACATTATCAGTTTTCTGTTACCTTTTGAGTTTTTGTGTTTTAAGGTTTATACTAATAATTGTTAGCAAATTCTTACATATAATTAGCTTTTTTTTTAGGTTATGCCTTGGAAATATCGGTATAGGTATACTGACATACACACATGATATATATGTGTACATACAGTTGGGTAATGCCAGCTATTGCTTGGCTGTGGCAGTGCTTCCTGTCATCTTCCCTTCAGGATATAAACTGCAAAGCTAACCCCTGTTGGGGACTTTCCCATTCTTTTGACAGAGGAAGAAGATGGCAGATGTTTCACTTGAATCTTAATTGACACTTGGTCAAGCCTAGTATAATTGGGCCAGAATGTATAACCTTATAAATTGACGTTTATATGAGTTATTGAAGCTTAGAGGTCATATCATTCAGTTTTTCTAAATTTTTGAATTCAGGTGTTCGATAGGAAAATTATGTTCTTGGTATCACCTAACTATAATAGGGCAAATTTCTGATAAAAGTCCTCCTCAATTTGGAGTCACCTTTTATGTTTGTGTGAATGTATTACAAATGAGAAGAAAGACGAAACAGTTCACCTTCATTATAGTTTCTGTATATATCAAAGCAACGCATATGTTGAAAGCAATACTATTTTACCAGCAAATTGAAATAAATACTCCTGACTGGTAGTTTCTGTCTATACCCAATAAAGATCTATGTAGAAGGAATAGATATTATTTCTATTTGTTCTTTGTCCCTTTTCTGTTCCAGTTATCATGGACATGTACAGTAATTTTGGGTTTATTTACAAGAATAAACTCAGAGTGTTCATTTGGTATATTTCATCTCGTATTCTTCATATTCTCATGGAGAAGAATGGTGATGACTTCCAGGTTTTATCAGGGTACTTATATATTCATCCATTAACATAATTTAGTAGTACTAAATGTAAGGATTGTTTTTGAATTGCGATGATAGATGCGTTGATGTGTATACATATTTATAAATAAGGTACAAAGTTTTGTGGCAAGTTGCAAAAGAGTGCATGAACAGTATAGCTATGTTCCAATAGGGTAGCTCTTGTCAGATACTAAAACCAAAAAAAAAAAAACTGTAAAACCAGAAGCAGAAATAATCTTTAGATATAAGGTTAGATACAAGAACATTTTAATACAAATCAATACCTTAGTGCCTATCACAATGTCTTGCACATAGCAATTGATCACACATATATTATAATTGAACTAAAATATGCTAGGAAAACAATAACTATTAAGACATGGAATAAGCCCAGCAGGGATTGATTGAAACCTATGTAGAATGAGAAAAGTTCTTGTTGATGACACAGAAAGGGGAGAAGACTGGAAGGAGGAAAGGATTCCTGTGGGGGCATCCAGCAGGGAGGGAGGTGAGGTCCCAGAGGGCAGAGGGTGCACGGGGCCTCGGTTCTCGGTGTACTAGGTCCTCCGTACCAAGGCCCATCCTGCAGGGAGGGAGGTGAGGTCCCAGAGGGCGGAGGGTGCACGGGGCCTCGGTTCTCGGTGTACTAAATTGATGACACAGAAAGGGGAGAAGACTGGAAGGAGGAAAGGATTCCTGTGGGGGCATCCAGCATTGAGGGAGGTGAAGTCTCAGAGGGCGGAGGGTGCACGGGGCCTCGGTTCTCGGTGTACTAGGTCCTCCGTACCAAGGCCCATCCAGCAGGGAGGGAGGTGAGGTCCCAGAGGGCGGAGGGTGCACGGGGCCTCGGTTCTCGGTGTACTAGGTCCTCCGTACCAAGGCCCATCCAGCAGGGAGGGAGGTGAGGTCCCAGAGGGCGGAGGGTGCACGGGGCCTCGGTTCTCGGTGTACTAGGTCCTCCGTACCAAGGCCCATCCAGCAGGGAGGGAGGTGAGGTCCCAGAGGGCGGAGGGTGCACGGGGCCTCGGTTCTCGGTGTACTAGGTACTCTGTACCAAGGCCCAGTGGTTTCAGCATGAGCAGCCAAGTGAAGAGAACAAGGTGCGGGAGAAGGAAAATCTTAGTCCGTCTATTTTTAAATCATTCTGAAATCAGACTGTTCTGTTTTTGTTGTTTCGTGTGTGTGTGCTTCCCATTACGTATGCCTAATAAAATCTTAGGATTTCACTGTCCCCATTTTTGCTAATGTCTTGGCACTTGCTTTCAGACAACTATGATTATAAGTAGAAACCCAGCAAGTGGGGAAGTCTTCAATTTTGATAAAACAGTTGAGACAACACTATGATACAAGTGAATTTCCCTTTAACTACACAGCAAATACATGTGAATGACAGATTGGCAGATTTTTTTCTAAATTTATCAGGTTTTATTGCCTGCAGTTTTCAGATAAGGAAATGGGAGAACCTCAAGAAGGAAAAAGATTCAGACATTTGAGTTGGAAATATAGACAATATACTGAATATCTTTGAATCCAGGCAATAAAAATTGTGGATTAAGATTTTATAACATATTGGACACGATAGGGTCAGGGGTTTAGCTCAGTGGCACACTGCCTGCTTGCTTTGCAAGATCCTGAGTTTGATCCCTGGTACCAGAAAAAAACCACACACACACACTGGGTGTGATGATGCATGCCTGTAATCTCAGCACTTAATAGGCTGAAGTAGGAGAATCTTGAATTTAAGCTCAGTCTGGACTCCATGGTTAGAATTTGACTCAAAAAATAAATAAAAACAGACATTTGGTCACAAAACTAACAGTAACTTTGTCTTAAATGTCATTTTAAACTAAGGAAGTTTCCAGGAAATTTAACTGAAGTATCACTGAATCAGATTAATTGTATTCCCGTCTCACCATTGGTATAAATTTATCTTGTTTTCTTAGTGTCTCACCTGAAAATAAAAAATTACAACATCCAAAGTCTATTGCTTTGGGAAGACAACTCTGCATGAGCAATAGAATTTTTTAAAACTTGCCAAAATTTCTGACAAAAATCGCTTAGCTCTTGAGGAACAAAATCCACCCTCACTGCACTTAACAGGTTTCATCATGATTGTACGAAGGATCTTCTGAAATGGTCGTGGTAAGAGACTCCCAGATCTGCAGGCTCAATTGTGGATATTTATAGTGTTACAGTTTTTATTTTTTGCCTCAGAATTGCCTCCCCCTGTGGGAAATAGTACAATTTTGAGTCTGTGTTGAAGCCTAAAATTCCTGATGTTTCTCTTTATTCCTAGCAACTGAAGCTAAACAGGTACAGTATATGGCCTAAGTTGGGTCCATGCCCCTGTGAATCAGTAGTGTTACAAAGAGGAACTAAGACATTAGTGTTAATGTCAGTGTCTTTCCATCTCCCCATGTGTCAGGTTCCAAGTGTCCACTGGCAGCAACCTGTGAGCCAGTTGCCATAGAACAAAGCCACCTACACTCTCCATGTTCCTAACTTATCTGGTAAACATGAAGAAAATTATTTTCCTACATAAGGATACCAAACAGGTTCTTGTTTTCCTGCCAATCACTATAGTTGTAGAACTATCCAAAGCCTAAGTATATGAGCTCTACAATTTTCTTAATGCTGCTGGCCACCAAACTAGTGAAGCAGAGACTGATCACAGTAGGATAACCTGCTTCTGTCACAATTCCCAAGCAGGCAGATACTCAGTAAACCCCTACTTAATTTTGGCTTAATAAAATAGTAACACTGAACCCAAGCCTGCTGAATATCTATTGTAGACTTTAAAAAAATCTTAACTGTTTTTAATGTAAATGTTTTACTAGTATGTATGAGATGGATATGCAGGGGTTTTTTTCATAGCAAAAATGAGGAAGTAAGGAAGAAAGATTAGGTTTCTGTTTGTGATAAATTGAACCTATTAAATGTCATGGCTTTTCGGTTTTCTTAACTACAAGTTAAACAGGTTGTGTCACTCACTAGCTCTGGTAGTTCAAAAAGTACAATCACTCCCACTGGACTTTGATCAAGCAACTGTTAACCTCATACCAGCACTGAACGCCAGTACGAAGAATGTTCTCTCATTTTTAAAAAATGGCTTGGCGTATCTGATTTGTTTAAGCTTTCAAAATGCTTAGAAAACTTTTTATGATCCAACTTCTGCTGTTCGTGACACTGGTAGAAGCAAGGAAACCATTTCTTAGTTTTCTGAATATAGAGAAGACTACAATATTTTTGACAAAGATTGAAGAAAAAATAATTGTGAGATCAAGTTACAAAGATAAATGGCCTAACTCCAGCTATCTCTTTGTGAAAACAGAAGATCCTAGAATTTTGCAGGTGGTGAATGTGACCAAGACCTCATCAAATGTTACAAACTTTACTATCAATCTAATAACACATCAAGAAGGAGAGACAAATTTGACCCTTCAACTCTGGGATTCTGAAGGTAAGCAGGAACGACTCATTGAAGAAATAAAGAATGTTAAAGTCAAAGTGAGCAAACAAACAAAAGACAGTCTTTCCCAGGCATCAATGAATATTGATGGAAGAATCCTCATGCTTGTTTTATCTATGATACTATTAAATAAATGTGCTTTTGGGTGCAAGATTGAATTTCAGGTTCTTCAAGCGGTATGGAAGAGACCTTTGCCAATACTTCTTGGGGCAGTTACACAGTTTTTTCTGATGCCATTTTGTGGTTTCCTTTTGTCTCATATGTTGGCATTGCCCAAAACACAGGCTTTTGGATTTGTCCTGACTTGCACATGCCCAGGAGGGGGTGGGGGTTATCTCTTTGCTCTGCTTCTACAAGGAGATGTTACTTTGTCCATTTTGATGACTTGCACATCAACATTATTGGCCTTGATAATGATGCCTGTCAATTCATGTATCTATAGTAGGATGTTAGGATTATCAGGTATATTTCATATTCCTGTTTCTAGAATTGTGTCAACACTCCTTTTTATACTTATACCAATATCAGTTGGAATAGTCATCAAGCATAGAATACCTGAAAAAGCAAACTTGTTAGAGAGAATAATTAGACCTCTTAGTTTCGTTTTAATGTTTATTGGCATTTATTTGACTTTCAGAATGGGATCGATGTTTCTAAAATTAGCTAACCTGGAAGTACTTCTTCTGAGTCTGTCAGTTCCTGCTTTGGGTTTGTTGTTTGGGTATTCCTTCGCTAAAGTTTATATGTTGCCTCTACCTGTTTGTAAAACTGTTGCTATTGAAAGTGGGATATTAAATAATTTCTTAGCCCTGGCCATTATTCAGCTATCTTTTTCACAGCCCAAGGCACACCTAGCTTCTGTAGCTCCTATTACAGTAGCCCTGTGTTCTGTATGTGAAATGTTACTGATTCTTCTGGCTCACGAGGCTAAGAAAAGATGTGTCTTTTAAATTTTTTTCCTACTCTAAAAGTTAAAGCATGACTCCACTGCTATTCTGAGTAAGGTATTGTGAGAAGTTTAAAAATTATGTAAAATAATGTCTGCTCTCAAGCCACTAATGATCTGGTTAAAAATTTAATATGGGGGAGGCTATGGAAAGTGTATATGTAATCTACATGCTAAGCACTCGAGTGTTACAGACAGTCCAACACACAGGAATTCAGAGAAAAGTGACAACTTTGCTAGTGTGGGAATGGTTTATAGAATGAGAGAAGAATAAAATATTTTATCATTATCTCTTAAATGATAAAAAGCCATAAAGTGTCTTTTTGTAGTGAAATTGATATGCCCTAAGTATTTAAGGAAAAGATGTCTCCATGTAGTAGACATTCAGCAAAAGCTCCCTCGGTAAATTAATATATAAATTGCATTCTTATTTGGAATTATCATTGGCTTATCAGAATCACCATACCTTAAACTGTAAGTAGCATCTCTGCTTCTGCAGCTGCACATACTCCTGTCTCCCATACCTCCCCACTAAAGCCATTACCATTTACCTCAAACAGAGTCATCAATTCTCCCCGCCCCCTTCCTCTTTTCTTTGTGGTACGAGGATCAAACTCAGGGTATTGTAGAGTATGTGTGTGTGTGTGTGTGTATCTCTATATACATTTTTTTTGAGAAAGGGTTTTACTAAGTTGTCCAGGTGGGACTTAAACTTGTGATCTTTTGCCCCTCCCCAGTGTTATTTTTATACTCAACCTAGTTACTACAAACATTTCCTATCTTTTTATGAAGTTTCCCTCTATTCCCAAATGTTACTTTTTTTCCCGCCCTATATAGTTTCTTCCCTAAACCTACTCTAAATTGGCTTTTGACTGCTCTACCTGTCAGGTGAATCTTTTCAAACGTCTAACTTTGGTCATGTGACTTTCCTGCGAGGAAATCTTTTTTGCCTGTAAATAAAGTCTGCATTCCTATTGAAGCACTGATCATACTCTGCTCTCCATCCTTATGCAAGCTTTCCTGTTTGTCCTCCTCTCCCACTTCTTTGGACACAAGCTCTTACGGTAATCAAGCAGAATCACTTAGTAGTTTATGAATATGCTTTTGTTTGTGCAAACAACAACAGCTATTTCTGTCCTGTTTTATTTCTTTTGGGGGTAAGTCTTTGGGGGTGAGAATTGTTTATTCATTTTATTATTCCTTGGAATTTCTAGCACATTTTCTATGTGCTTATTTAAATAAAATGTTAGAGAATGAAATAGGACACTTGGGTGTGTAACTCAGTGGCATAGCATTTGCCTAGCATGCTTGAGACACATTTTGATGTTCCTTGAAATTTCTAGCAGGACATTTTCTAGGTGATTATTCAAATAAAATATTAGAGCATGGCATAGGACCCAAATGAAGAGTATATTTTGTTTATTATTATTATTATTTTTTTTTTTTTTTGGTACTGGGGATCGAACTCGGGTCCTCGCACTTGCCAGGCAGGTGGAAGAACCACTGAGCTAAACCCTCAGCCCCTCTGAAGAGTATACTTTTAAAAAAATATCTTTTAGGGACTGGGGATTTACCTCAGTGGCACCATGCCTGCTTGCAAGCTCAAGGTCCTGCGTTCAATCCCCAGTACAAAAAAAAAAAAAATCTCTCGTGTGTATAACTCAGTGGCATAGCACTTGCCTAGCATGCTTAAGACTCCTGGATTCAATCCCCATCCCCACCAAAAAACCAAATTGCTCTTAAATTTTCAATGGGAATTTTAGTATCAAAGCCCATTCTGAATTTTTCTCCCAACTATGGGCATCAAGAATAGGAAAACCACTCTGAAGGACCTTATTTTCCCTATTTCCTAGCCTTATGGCTACTCATCCAAAAAACTGGAGACAATGTTGTCATCTCTATCAATTGTCCTAGGAATTAAACTACACCATAAATGTAACCTGCTTAGAAGAGTGTTTGGCACAGTGAGTACATAGGGTCAGCTACTATTATTTTATCAGTTTAAACTTTAAATGTGGATATTTATTGCTAGTTCTAAATATCAACCTGTTAACTACATATACAGCCTAAACTTCTAACTTTTAAAAAACAATGTTATTCACCATCTAGTCCATAGTATTAGAGGATTTTTGTTTATTTGCCAGCTTTTTTCTTATGTCACCAAAGTACCAAGATTTATAATAGATCTGGTGGTATGATGGTGAACAATTATGCCAATTTATAAAATAATAATTACATATATGAAGTGTTTTATTCCTTGAAACAGAAATTCCATTTAAAATTTACTAAGTAAATTTGCACAAATTTAACTCATTTTAATGAACTCAGTTTAGAAACAGAAGGCCTACTTTCCTACTTGTACTTTGTCATAACTCTGTAACACTTCTTTATATGTCAGTTTTTGAAGCTATAAAATATAGAGTCTCAGTTGAAGTTTATGAGCTTGCTCAACTCTGTGAATCTGGCATAAGGCTAGTACCTAATTGTATTACATGGGGCATAACACAATGGGCAGGATGATGGATTAAAGAGAAGAAAGTTCAAGATGATGAGAATATATATCACTGCTGCTTTCTAATCAAGCCGGCAACCAAAATCTGAGCTTGTGCGGGTAGGGACCATGTGGTGCCTTGGCTCATGAACTTGATTTTTTCCACCATTCTAGGTGCAAACCAAGTTGGATGAGAACAGAATCAAATTCAATGGTTGGGTTCAATGTTAACCCTATGGGGAAATTTGATTCAGCTCTCATCCCGACCAACTTACTATGACCAATTCCTGTATGCCAATGGTCATCCTTCCCCAGAATTCCCTTGCGGTGGGGCATTGAATTTCAACTCTATTCCATTTTGAGGTTTTGCGTAATTAGAACCTCTCTCATAGGTGGAAGTGAGGTGGCAGGAAAGGGTGCTGAAGGCCTATAAGAGAGTACTCACCATTAGGAAAGAAGGAAACCATAATGTACTGGACTCCATCTCAGGTGTTAGATTTTGTTCTGGAACGGTGTGTAGCAGAGGCTGAAATTTGTCTCTTCCAACCACTGTGGCAAAGCAGTTATTCCTTAGGACTGAAAACGCTGGCTGCAGAGGTGATTGTAACTTTTTGGGGAACTCAAGAGATATGCAATATTGACAGTTAAATCAAAATTCTTGGGACCAAAAGAGCTTGAAAGAAAAAGATTTATTGAAACATTCGTTATAGCTTCCAGACAGAAAGAAAACACAAGTCCTGGGACACATTCTCTAAACTACTAGCAGCAAGGTTAAAGAGCAGTTGGTTGAAAGAATGTCCACCAGATTTTAAAAGCTAGAGTACTTTATAATGAAATTTTTGGAAAAGAATGTGTAAAAGCTTACATTGAACCTGCATTGGCAACAGGTGAGAGGGTAAGATAATGCAAAGTGGGTGATGTTTGGGGCTAGGGAGAGGGTGCTTGAGAAGGTGTACTTGTTCGTGAACGGGTTGGAGCTGTAAGCGGAATGTGACAGTGCCTTAACTGCAAACCTCAAGGGTTTCAGCATTTGTTTTTGAATATGGAATCGTTTTAGGATTTTGTTTGTTTGTTGTTTGTTTTGTTTCTATCTCAGCTTTTCTTACATCATGTACTGAGGTCTCTGCCAGCTATATGAACTCTTTTTGCAGCACCCAGTGAAGATCTTTTGGGCAGTGTAGAACATGTTTGCAGTGCTGCTACGATGGAGTCTGAACACTAGGCTCCCCTGTGCACTGATAGATTTACCTTTTTCATTTTCCAAAGGCATTTGGAAGCAGAATGGCCTTTTTGGCCATAAAAAAACAAACCAAGACAAATCAAACCAGAGTTTCATGAAAAGAATGATGCAGTGGTAGCTGAGGCCTCCTCTACAAAAACAGAACAAAACAAAAATGACTTTCTGGGTTTTAATTTGAAGGAATGAGATAGTTGATCCTTTATCCATCTAAAGTTGTATACACTGATTTTAGCAGTGTTGTCAAATCAGTGGGACCATTTTCACTTAGGAAAGATTTAAAGGTGACTCTGATATTTCTGGAAATGTCTGGAAATTTTCATTTGGTTATATGTCAGTGCTTTTGAGGATGGATTTTGCAAGATTTTAAAATTTTAACATGATTCATAATGAGAAACCAAAAAGTTTCTGAAGGCTTTCTTTAAAATCAAGAAATTAAGGGCTGAGGATTTAGCTCTGTGGTGCTGCACCTGCCTGGCAAGTGCAAGGTCCTGAGTTCAATCCGTGGGACCCAATCAATCAATCAAGAAACCAGAACTATCATTTGATAAGCAAACAGAAGTATCCACATCAGTCTCTATTTTTTTTTCTTTTTTTCCCCTTTTACTGAAGATTGAATTTGGGGTGCTCTACCACCGAAATATTTTTTGTTTTGAGACGTCTAAGTGCGTTTCTCCTACCTCAGCCTACTGAATAGCTGTAATTACAAGTGTGTACTACCATGCCCAATACAAATCAAATTCTTAAGACATCATTCTTCAGAAAAACGTAGACAAGTTTTAGATCTTTGCGAAGTTTGAGCATCCACCGTTCACATTATTTGTCCTTGAGATGTGTTTTACACTGGTAACAGCACCTTGTCTTCTGATTAAACTGAAGGAAGCCATCACGTCAGATGCAAAGAGCAACATAACCTACTGTTCTGTTCCTCTTGTGGACAGGACATCTTATATCTGTGCAACGCTCTAGACATTATGGCAATATATATGCTATGGTGCCACATCTGCTATTTCATGAGGAGGAACCATTTTTAAGGGCTATTTAGTCTGTGTTTTATGCAGTGCAACATTTTACCATGTACATTCAGGAAATGTGGACTTTGGAGACAGAATGTCTGCCTATTCCATTCTGTGAACTTGCAGAGGATAAATCGCTTAACTTCACTGAGCTGTCAGTCTCGTGTTTCTGATGAAGACAATCATACTTTCTTCATGGAACTGCTGCAATGTTTAAGTTAAACAATGCACATGAAAACACAGTTGCCTGAAGCACTTAAGTCAGTGAGAACTAACTGAGTTATGGAGAATAGGAGCGGTTGGGGCCGGGTATCTTTTTAC